GTACTTGAATGCAATACCTGTTTTGTACAAGCTAGATTATCCATTTTCATAAAGCATTAAACAATTTCCCCTTAATAACTGCTTTAGGCATTTATAGTCAGTTGGCCCTGATTTGACTGTTAGCAACAAAATCATCGGTCCGACGCCATTGTTGCTACTAACTGTGTGAAGAGGATTTCTTGTTAAAAGCACTTTGTTGTTCTTGGAAATTTGTCTGAGGGTATTTTTTTGTTTTTTTGACATTTTGCTTTAAGCTGCTTTGTAGGTTTTTTGTTTAATTTTCTTAGATTTATATATTTTTTCCCCAAATATGCTAAAGTATGAAGCTTTTGTGTGTACTGTGAAACATTAATAGAATATTTCATTGTTTCTTACTGTTAAATCATGGTATAGTGTATATAACTTGTTAGTTTTCATATAAAATAGTACTAGTTAATATTACATTTATTGTTACTTAAATTTTTCAATCAAATAAGTGCAAACTTTGAATGCATTTTAGGCATAACCAGCAGCTGTAATATCAGTAAGGCACATACTGTATGCTAAGGCATTTAGTAAATCGTTTTCTCCGTCTTATAGTGACTATTTAGATATACATTATGTAGTTGTTAGATAGGAGCACACGTGTTCTGAAGTCCTCAGCGACACCAGTAATTATTATTTAATTTTTTTTGGACTTTAGCCTTTCAGATATGTTAGAACATGTATCTGATTCCTGGCCACTCCCTCTTAAGTGCCTTGCCTTAAAAACATTCGAAGCATCTGTGAAGAGTTTAGGATTGTAGTACAAATCTCATCCGCTTGCAAGTATACAAGTATGTATTTTTCAGTAGTACCATATTATCAGAGGATTTACCGGCCTAATTCAGTACTAACGTATTTCCGAGAGACTTCACCCTGGTCGGCGCCTGAGCTCTTGAGGTTCAGCTAAAGAATCGTTCCCTCTTCTTCATCAACGATGGTGCTTTTTGGGTGCAGCTTCATTATCGTTCGAAATGTTGCATCATCCTTAATTTAAACGTGTAGGGATATTCAAATCAGGAAATGTGTGTTTCTTTGATTGCAAAAACTAAACTGGCTTAGTACATTTCTGTTTATTGAAATGTGTAGAATTGTAGTGCTCTGTAGTGTTTACAGACGGACATCATCGGTGTTTTTTCGTATCCAAATTCGACAGTGTAATGTGCTTAGGTAATCTAATTGAAATGACCTGCTACTGTGTTATCTGAAGCTTTTTTTTTTATTTCTTGTTCCTTTCATATTTACAGCAACGAGTTTGTGCGGTAAATTGTCAGGTACACAAAGGTGCAAGTTTCTTGTCTTTTGAAATCGGGATAAACAGTTTACTTCAAAAGGGATGGTTATTGAGGAGCTAATTGCCCAGATCCTCTTTTTTTTCTTCTTTTTTTCGTTCAGCTTCACGAGGCAAAGACAGTGTATATATGATTTCTCTGCTTTCTTTCTTGCATTGTATCTAAATCCACAAGGTCTGTATGTAGCTCATTTTCTTGACATTTGGACTGATTTGTCACTGCATGTGTCAGTGTGTAACTTTTGTTAACCAGCTGAAGCTCTAGATCACACTGCCAAATGTATTGAGCAGACTTATCCCGTCATTTGGTCAGGCGTCGCAGTCGATCGCTCAAAGTATTCCGAAATATTTTTGTGCGGTGCTTCAGATGCATTGACTATGTGCTTATCTTTTCTAGTTCGATTAGCAAAAACATGTTCTCGTTTGTACAATGGTTGACGCAGATAGGTTGAAATGGATCAAAGCAGCTCTGGGTGTGATTTTTTCCAAGTGTTCATGAGCTTTGCAGACGTGTCACTTTGTTGAGGGATTAGTTCCATTATTTGGTTATTGGACCATAAGATAGGGTTTTGTTGGACTATAAAATGTGGTTGAAATGTGTGGGATTTCACACATTTATTTCTCGAATTAAGAGTGCGGTCAAATCAAATGTGGACTTTACTCAAACGAACCAAAGTGGTATTGTAGTTTATACTCGTTTCAAAGTTCAATTGAAGTGGTGTACAATTACTATGTCAGTTTTTCAATGTTTCATTTGACAGGACAACTATGCCAACTGCTTTTGCTGACAATATTAATGGACTAAATGCCCATTTTTGTAGTTTCTACCAAAGACCTTTACTATTCTTTGTTCTCACTGCAATTTTATAACTGCATTTTCATTTTAACATTTTGAGGAAATAGTTAGAAAAATGACCGAACCTAGTACCTTATTTACATTATATGTGCATTCAAAAAATCCTAATGAATCACAATTCTTTATTAACTAAATAAAAAGATTGTGTTTTTTATTATTTTATTTTTTATTTCTCAGTAGAAACGATAACATAGTATTGAATTGGCTGTAATTTACAGTGAAGGAATGTCATAGTAATGAATGAATATTTGTGTTGATATTCTTAAGTGGCCATATGGATTAGTGCTTATTTGAAGTATATATATTTCTTTTTATACAAATAATACTCGTAAAATTCTGAAATCAGATTTGAAACATTAGTTGTTGTGCACTACTTGTATGCTGTCAGGAATTTAAAAGAGTATCTCGTAAGGTGCTTTCTTTAGTTTCCATTTGACTGGTGTTAGTTTTTTTCTGTCTGTTCTTCAGAATTTGGATATGAAATAAGAAATCTTTTAACTTATTTTTTTTTTTTAAACCTTGAAGTCTATTATTGTATTGTCAAATGTTGTCTAATTTGATTGTGATGTAAAATGGGTCCCTTGCTCATGCTAGTTGAAATGGCTGAGACAGACATTGGGTTACATTTATGAAAACTGTTAAAATATCTACATTTCCTAGCTTTTGGCCTAGATACGTTTGCCTGTTATAGTATTGAACAAGTAAAAAAAATATAATTGTTCAAAAATGTAGACCTGCTCTTAAATGTCTGATTCACAATTAGTCATTCTGCTTCATAATACTGTTAAATCTTGGAAGGATCGAGTCTCTTTGGAACAAATTTGTGCCTTTAATAAAACCACGTTGAAAGTATTTTTCATTGAACAAATGGGTAAGCCCAGCTTACCAAATGAGCTGAATTTTAGTGCCTTGGGACATTCTAATCTGTATTTCTCAATGCACAGACTTTCTAAAGACCAGTGTATTAAAATAATACATAATTACTCTGCCATGCCTTTGAACGTTTCACTTTTGAGTAATAAGTGATTCTGAAAGAGAAATATTTATTGATGTTGAAAGTCAGCATGTACAGTGTCTGCTGTCAAATGAACCGTTAAGGTATTTTGCAATTGTATTCTCTACCAAGGGCGTGTTAAAAGTAGCAGCTCATCTGAACAGTTTATGAAGCATGACAAAATTAAAGTGAAATTGTTGCAAAAACTAGTCATTGTGAGTTTGGGCTTCTAAATTATGTTTCTGTGTTACTGGTTTGCTCTACAGTGCTTTTCTGTGCACAGTCTATAATAATGACAGATATTAATCTTTTAGTCAAATGAATCTAAACCACTGCATGAAAGGTTTTGATTTCACACACATGAAACACCTCTGTCTGCATCAGCCATTTTAATACCAACTGTAATCTAAAATGACCATTTAACATTAATGTAAGACCAGGCATCTGTAATTTAAGAAGCACCAAGGACTCTTGTTTAGCAATGTGTAAATTAATGTATTGGACATTTACCATAATGCTCTGCAGTGGAAATAATAATTTCTGTATTTCTTTTTGCATACTTGTGGATTTCTTTTGTCCATTTGTTTGTTTTTCTAATTTTGTTCTCTCTCAGTAGTGTGATTTATTGAACCTAAGGTTTTATGCAATCTTGTATATAGATATTACATATGAAACTGGTTAAATTTAGCAAACTAGCCAGCCAGGGGGAAAAACCTATTACAATAGTAAACTTTTATAAGAGGCTAAAATAATAATAATAAAAAAAAAGTGACAGATTTTTTTGGAACCACTGTTCCCTATAATTAATGTTGTGAATAATCGAACATTAAATCCCTGAATATTGAATGTACCATTCAAATTAGATATAAAATGGGTCACTGGAATAACTTGGAAAACAGTTCATCTATAATGATGTAGCACTAGTTTTGTGAATTGCGATACATTACAAATAAATTTATAAGTTTAACAATTGCAGTTTTCAAGTTTGTGTATTTATCCGTGTAACAATTTGATGGAATTATGAGATGTATTTTTCTCAGGGTTTTACAGGAGAACTGTAGAATAGAGAGAGATGTCCAATTTTCAAAGGGAACTGCAACTCACAGATTTATTAGCTCAAAAGTCAAAATGAGGACAACATTTATATTGCGAGGAAGAAACATATCCCTTATTTTGGTACATTATGCATCAATATATATAGAACAGCTTATATTCTAATTAGTCTTGAAATACTATACAATTTGCTGTCAATATAATATGTTTGTGTATGTGTTGTCAACACAAGACCTTAAAACATTTCCTGGGAGTTATGTGTTTAAGTTATGGAGGCTTCTCTATGGAATAGTTGTATGTTTTGATGCCGTATAAGGCCAGAGAGGTTTCTCTTCACTAGAATTACTTAAGATGGTATTATTTATAATGCATAATTTTTCTCTTGTAGTGTATCATTTAAAATTGTTAACACTTGTCTACACTACAGCAGTTATGCAATGGTTTACAGAATTCATGGAATTATTTTTGTCATCATGGGAATTAAATAATTTTTGATCTTTAACCTGGCTCGAGTGTTTTGTCTTATTCCCCTCGTGTGCTTCTGAATCAGTTGCTGAGTAGACTGATAACTTCTTTATTTTGTTCTAGTGTGGTGTTGGAATCAATTTAAGGGTTACAATAGGCCTAATCTTGACTTAATATGCAATTTAGGAACACTAAGTGTTTTGTGCACAAGTAAGAATAAAACAATCTTTTCATTCCTTTAACAATGTAAAAAAACAACAACATAAATGTCAGTAAATCACATTAATGTGGATTATAGAAAACGAAATATTCACCACTACTAGGTACATCTTATGGAATAAATCCTGGTTATTGTGGTGCTATGCGGTGAAGACTGACTCAAGACTGTGATCATCAAACAGGTAACGCAGCAATTTCACTGCCTGCACACAGAAAAGGTTCAGGGAAATCAAATGGGGAAACAGTTCAAAGTAAATATTAGTACTTTATGATTCAATGCAGAAACTTTAACATCAGTGGAATCTTTCCATTACACAGTAGGTTCCTTATAGTGGAAAATAGTTCTTTAGATTATTAAAATGAGTTTTTTTTAAAAAAAATAACTCTTCATTAGAGGCTTTTGCACCAGGTAGTTATTATAGGAACTAGCCACCAGGGGGTTCCCCGAGAACTAAATTTTCAAGGGCCATTTTCCTGGTTACATTCGCACCAGCAGTAGGAACTCTGAACCCGGCTGACAGCTACGTACTATAAGCGCGACATTCAACAACTCCATAGCGTAAAGGTTGAGAAGTGCCTGAACTTTAGAGTCGGCCCATCACTTTTTTCCACGTTTGTGGAGTATGTATTTAATAACGGCGGGTGCCGGTGTTTCGTATGGCATGTGTTCGGCCAATCAACGTACACTTATGTCACTGGTAGTTCCAATTGTGCGTGGTTAGACCCTACTCTAGCTAATCTAGTAGCCTTTAGTAAAAGGTGTTGCTATTACTGGTACTAAAATCATTCCCAGTTCCTGCAGTGCGAATGCGTCTAAAAGCGGGTACTAAAACCACCAATAGTTACAGGAACTATGAAAACATTCCTCTGTTGCGAAAGCCCCTATTGAAATGTTCTTTGGGGAACCAAAAATGGTTCTTCTATGGCTTTGCTGCATAAGATAAATGTTACTGTAGACTCACCCCGCTTTCAGAATTTGGGTAAAGAAGTTTCATGGTAACTCTCCTAAAGTCTGGTCTCGCCCTACAAACGCTACAGCAGAAGGAAAATACATAATTGTGTTGAATTACATATGATTTGTGTTACAGTCTGCTGAAACCTTTTACATTTTTCTTTCAGCTTTGCTTGTACCTCTCAAGAATAATATCAAAGCATGTGACAGCATTGTCTGCTTGCAAAGCAATGATAAGGCAGGGACCCTCAAGTAGAAGTGCTCCACCAGCAGAGGACCTCAGCAACTCAGACATGTGCTGCCTTTGTTTTTCATCTGGTGCGCAGAGCTTTCCAGCCACCAGGAGGCAGCCTGTCCTTAGCAGCCGATGCAGTAGCTCCGAGTACAGAGGAGGCTGACTCTGTTGCAGGAGGTTGGAAGGTATCAGCAAGCAGGTGGTCTGACAAAGAGCACTGCAGACCAAAGGCCCTACTGGCACCAAAACACAAATAAACAACCACCATTCCCATCCTCATTACAAAGGTCAATCGCAGCTAGTAAAACATCTACAGGTTTTGGTTTATGTTTGTGTCATTGACTCTGTTTTCTGATGTGATGTTAGAGGGGTGAGGAAGAGGAAGAACGCCTTGCCTTGACCAAATCCTGATGCAAATGTGTTCTTGACAGCGGTTCTAACGGTGTTCAACTGTTCACGGTCCAAACTAGCGTCAGGATCTGAACGCAAACAGGATATCTGAAATAAGACAGAAGAGATGTTTAACTATAGCACCAATATAATTGTGGGAAGGAAAACACGGTTACAATACCTTCTCGTGTTTCATAACTGAAGTTTCAGTGCAGCACACCCCCTTTGGAAATACCAGTTTTATGTCTTCTACAGCCTTCCGATAAGATGGAGATCCTGTACAAGAATGTACAAATAGTGTTAGTAAGCTTTGACCAGACTTTAACGTCTGATTATTTGTGTCGAGAGTGCTGACCATAGATGCCATTATGCAGTCTGTCAGAGCCATACTGTGCTCTCCATCGTGTCTGATCTATAGTACGGGCTTCAACAGGGTCCTCAGGACCCATCAGCTCCAACAGCCTCATTACCGCATTCACTCTCAGTAAACCCAAAGCCAGCGAGGGGCCGGATCTCAAGTACTTCAACTCCAGCTCCTCGGTGGGATCCTGGACATCAAATAAACATGAACATTTGTTTTTAAAAAGTACATTTATTTTGATGTTTGACTAATACAAGTTTTTACAGAAAGTATGTATTAGTATATTTTGGTTAACCATAAATGCTTGTTGGTAAATTTGGCAGGACACTTATTTCAAAAACATTATACGTAATTATAGAAATTATATTTATGAAGTCCTACTTAAGTGGGTCAAAAAATCTCTCTAAAGTAAAGCTAAATGTATTTAATATACATTTTTATTTACTTGCAATTATTATGCTATTAAGTGTCTGAAAGCATTACGTTCAGTTTGCACTCAAGTATAATCTTAAATTACATAAGTGCTAATTTTAAAAGTATGCTAAAGTGTACTACTTTTTTACAATGGTCTAGAATAAATGTGATTATTTGCTCTTTTTAGGATATTTAGGAAGAAGAGAACAGAGTGACCTGTTGCTCCGACGGATGTATCAGTGCATTTGCCGTGTTTGAGTCCAGCAGAAGCACACGTAAGCCCACTAGAGTATATCCATTCTGTTTGATTATGGTGAGAATTTTACCAAAGCAGTGTCTCCAGGCTCCAGGCTTGAACAGAGCTAGAGTCAAAAGTGGCTCTGGGCCTGTAGAGTACAGAGGGAGGGAGCTGAAAGAAAAAGCCATGAAAGACAGCTTCTAAAAGGACATGTTCTGAGAAGACATCACTTACCCACTGTCATGTAACTGTAAAGCGACTGGCTTCTGAGACCTGAGGGTTGTCGGAGATTGACAGTCAGTTCCCAGAGTACATGGGAGGGTAAAATAGATTTTGGCTCGGTTCTGTTTCTGTACATACCAGGAGTGTCAATGTGATGAAGTGGTAGAAATTTCAATGATGGACGACTGCCGTGATCTGAAGAGAAGAAGCTTAAGTTAAGCAAACTGCTTTAGGCAGAAAATTAAAAAGATCATCCCTAACAAACTATTATCTAGTCGAATCCTCACCAGGGACCAATTCTGCCTCAGAGAAGAAGAGGCAGGTCTGTCTGAAAGCTGTCTCGGGAGTAGGGGACATCAATACATGCAGGTTTCCTGGGTAATTTGGTGGTAAAAGTCTACGTAGGGTGATGAATGCCCTCACCCTCCTCAGAGCCAAGACCAGGCCAGGAGTGGAAGTCAAGCTATGCACACTGCTCTGCCACTCTCTGTCCCCGATCTCAAAAGGACTCAACTCTTGTGCCTGCCACTTAGACAGCTTGGACACCCACTTCAATGCCAGCAACTCGAATCCATCTAGTCCTGCTTGTACAAGAGAAAGTAGATTCAGTAGCCAGACGCTGAAACGTACTTACTGCAAATTACTCAAACAAGTACAAAGGATAGTTTTAGGTCAGGGATGTCCAGTCCTGCTTCTAGAAGTCCAGTTTCCTGCGAAGTTTGGCTCTAACACACCTGCCTGGATGTTTCTAGTGATACCGAAGATCTTGATTAGCTGCTCCAGGTGTTTTTAATCAGGATTGGAGCTAAACTCTGCTGGAAGGTGGCCCTCTGTGAGCAGGATTGGAACTTGTGTTTAAGCTAGAGTTCATGTACCTGCTGCATCTCCCCTGAGAACTTTATGAAGAAAGCCCATTTCATTCTTCATGATGTTTTGACCAGTCAACGTGAGAATCACCACCTGCTCTACATCTGGCCAAGAGGGATACGTGTGTTTGGACAGGACCATGTGGCTATACTTTGGTACTGTCCACATGAGCCCACCTGTAGGATATCATATAAATGTCAAAATACTCTTGGGCGGTAATTGAGTAATTTATGAAAATGCATTGTAATGTATGTACCCAGAACATTGTGGTGGTTTTTAGAGTAGGGTACAGTGTGAAAGCAGATGTGTGGATCAACAACATCTGTGAATCTTGCACGGATTGATCCAATAAGGCCATGGACGGCAAGCTCATTCATACAACCTTCACCAGGCAAAGAAACAGGACATTTAATTTTTGGAGCATCTCTGTACAGCTTCACATAAACAGTAAATAGCTGGCACGATATGTGCTATCCGGATGCTCTACCTATCGGCAGTCTGGAACAGTGTCTAAGTGCACTTTCTCTCCTCATGAGCAGCACAAGACAATTAGAGGACAGCTCAACCTGTTCTCCATCCAGCAACACTGTGGGAGCGTGACAGAACGCTGAAACCTAACGGAGACAGACAGCGTTTCCAGACAAATGCAATCAGCATCAATGTCATGGTAGTGTCCTACTCTCAGTTTCAATATATCTCTGTACAAATACAGGCTCACTGTTGGTTTTATTCACCTGCTTGGTGGTGAGACCCAGAGATTGAGCTTGTTTCCTGGATATCTGTGTCCTTTGAACTCCCAACAGACTGAAGCCACTCTTTGCACAAGCAGATAGTATATAGCTGTAACAGCATGGTCCAACCACAGGAGACGCAATAAGAAATATATCCGCTGTATGGGGTCAGAGGGAAAAGGGTAGAAAGTTTGACTTATAAGATGTAAGACTGTTAAAATGACAACATTTTTTTTTTAGTCACCTTCAACAGTGGCACATAAAGTTGCTGGAGAACAGGTAAGAATGTGGGATCTATCTCCTCTGTCACCCTCCTCTGAGTCCTGAATCCTGTTAAGAGGGATAAATAGAGTCAGCAGGTAGTTCAAAGGAATAGTTTGGCCAAACATGAAAATTCAGTCATCATTTAATCATATCGTTACAAACTTGAATGAATTTTCTTTCTTCTAGGAAACGCAAGATAGAATGAAGATTTTGATTGACTTTTTTTTATCTTTTTTTGTCTACATTTAAGTCAATAGAACCCAAAACTATCAAGCTCCAAAAAGCATAATGATAGAGTGAAGTGAATCCATACAAATTAGACTTCTGAAACCAACATGCATATAGATTACATCAAATATCAATCACCAAATCTCATGTTTTAGGTTTGTGTCGCCATATTCAATGTAATCTGTTGAGCAAAGATTTGATTTGAGAGTGAATAAAAGGCTTACATTTCAGTTTGTTCATCATACAAAGTGATCATATTGCTTAAAAAAGACTCAACATATCCGCTAATTCACATGGATTATTTTGATATTAATTTCATATCCCCTAGAGTTTGATGGTTTTGGCTCCCATTGACTTTCATAATATGGACAAAAGCAGCTGACAGGTTCTTGAAATATCTTTGTGTTTCACATAAGGAAGACGATTAAATGATGAAAGAAAATGAAAACTATATTTTTTTAATGTATTAAGATGCTAAGGGACGGATAAACTAAACAGAGCAAATTAGCGTGAATCCAATAAAAGCGTTGGTGGGAGTGGAAAGCAAATTAAAGAACACAGACACAGCCGGATCATTTCCATAATGACCAATCCAATCTACCAGGAGCAGTGGAAATTAGCGTCTGGTTTAAGACATGCTTTTTTGGGGCGGTAAATAATGGCTCAAATACCAGTAAATTGATTAGCGCAAACCTTAGTAAATCATCATGATTCATTTAAATACTGTCATAAATGTTGTCTGGAAGGGAAACTCCAACAAATGCATATGCAATAAGGTCAGTCGCAAAAATAACTTCAAACTTTTCACTGCATGTCTTTAGTAAATCTTTAGTAGTTTTTTAACGCCAAAAGAGTGTTTGCGCTGCCGCAAGCTGTTAGTAAATCTAACATTGTAAGATACTAACATTGGGGTGTTTTTTGCTATTCTACCACCAAACCACAAGCAGAGCCCCAGATGCACAAGATTGGCAAGACGGGGTGAGTAGAGCAGGGGCTGGTCTTGACTATGATGGTAAAGGGCGTTGATGGATGCTGGATCTGTCCGCCTTGCCAGCTGGGGGTCTGATGGCCCTGTGATCTCCTGCCACACTGAGTTAGCGTGAGGACCCCGGAAAGCCATGATAAGCACTGGCTGTCCCTCGCTATGCATAACTGACTTGCTGACTAGAAGACAGGATATGCATTAACCCATGCAATTTGTGTACATTTTGCGTAATTATGGTGGGAGATGATTTGTACCTGCAAAGTTTTTCAGTAGCTCTTGGGGCGGGTAGAGGAAACGGATACCACACACATCTAGACTTGATCTGCACATAAGCTCAAGTGTGTGATGCATTGCCAGTGGGTTAGGCAACAGTGCCTTGCCTATCAGAACAAGCGCCGTCTAAAAGCAAAAAAAAACCTTTTTACCCATACAATAAGATACTATATATGTCCACTGAAAGATAAAATGGCATTTTCTAAAGACGCCTTCACCTCAGTATGACACTCTTGAGAATTTGTGGCTTCTGCCCTTTGACATTTTTGATCTTCGGTTTCCAGAGTTTGCCAGTAGAATCCTGGGATCACACTAAAGGCCTTTTCAACGGCCTGAAACAAAGCGCGTTAAGGATTTAGAAAATAATGTCTAAATAACAGAAAAGAAAATGGAACCATAAATCATACACCACCTCTATATTTGGGTTGACAGAGATGAAGCAGTCCAGGTAAGATGAGGGCATGTGGACAGCCTGTTCCTCCAGCAAATGATTAAGCTGAGGTACCCAGAATGCAACAGTCTTCAATGACGTCTGAGCAAAAAACTTGCAAACTCGCCTGTAAAACATGCTCTCGTTCTTTTTGACCTCCTTTATCTATGAGAAAAAAAATATCAGATTCCAATATAAACTTGAATAATAGTCAATAAAGAACGTATTTTATAAATAATGTTTGGCCCACACAGAATATGTTGTAGTGTTTGTACGTAAGTGGGAAATCTGCAGAAAGCATTGTAAAGTGAGCCAAATATTTAATAAACAAATATGCTGAGGATGTTGTTTAGAACTCACCATGGATTTCCTACAGCCAGTTTGACCATCCTCAAGAGACATGGCACAGATGTACAAAGCCAAGCCATCTTCCTTATAAAACTGCTGCAGCCCAGCCACCCAGAAAGGGGCATCAAGCTTGTTACCCTTTCTATTGCAGTTTTTGGGATCAGTCTATCACAGAACAGGTAACAGATGAAATGTAGCGTAGCATGTCAAATGTTTTTTTTAACTGCCAAATTATTATTATTTTTTGTAAATAAGACATACCAAAGACAAGAACCATGCTATGAGTGCATTGTAAACATGTGATTTGATGAAGACTGAATCCACTGTCTGTGCTTTTCTCTGCATTCTTCCAGCCACCACCCCAAGACTGGACAAGGACACAGTCAACAGCAAACACTCCCTCATCTCTAGATCTGCAGGCAGGGTGTTCACAGTGGGAAGGTAGGATGCTTCCTAAGGGAAGTGAGTATAGCAGTCTTGTTATTATCATCAATTATCAATTATTATTTTATAGAAAAACAGTCAATAACTCACAGGGTCATAAAGAACATCAGTCCTCTCAGCGGCTTCCTCCGTGTTATTAGCAGAACGTTGAGGTCTGAATGTTTGCAAGAACTTCAGATCCTTCTGCCATCTGACTTTATGGCTGTGTTAGTGCATGGTCATACAGTTATTACATTAGGTTATGCATATTCCCGAGAGTGAAGAAAATGTAAGAATACTTCATACCTTTGTTTGTTTTGAGCAGCTGGAACGTGAGAAGATTGAGAATTTTGTTTATGTTGGTCACATTTTGTAGTAGAACAGCAGACATTGACCTGCTGAATACCAGGTTCACTGCAGCTAGTTTCAAAATCACAAAGCTGGTTTTCCTTTATGATTTTCCCTGAGGGGGTTTTCTGTCTAGCCTCAGCAAAATCTCTCCCAGATATCTCTGCCACACTTTGTTTTGACTGTCTGGGGTTTTGGAGTAATAAACTCTTCCCAGCAAATTCTCTAGAAATGAAAAATAAACATGCATTGTAATAAGATTTAGTGGGAGTCAGTATATTTTACTCTGCAGTCGTTCATTACCTGAAATATAATTAATTATAAGTTGTATGTGATCTCTTACTTTTTCTGCCCATTTGCTTTTGCCTTTGTGTTAGTCATCCTCTTAATGGAGCTTATTTTCTTTTTCATGTTTACAGGACTTACGACACTGTTACTCTGGCTAATAGCCGATTGCTCTGTTTGAAATTTGTTGTTGCGCAAGTCAATATATATGGTGGGAGAGTCTAGATTGAGTTGTAATTTTGCTGAGGTCTCTTTGAAGTCCTTCATCGGTCGCCTAGTACATCTGGGAAAAGTCACAGACACATTTAACCTGGAGTACAGAAATTCAAACATTGAAACATGAATATACACTATTGTTCAAATGTTTAGGGTCGGTTTAATGTTTTTGAAAGAAGCTCACCGGGACTGCATTTATGTGATCAAAAATACAGTGAAAATGTTTATATTGTGAAATATTATTACAATATAAAATTACGTTTTCTATTTTGATGTATTGAAATTTAATTTATTCCTGTGATGAGAAAGCTGAATTTTCAGCATCATTACTCCAGTAAACACTTCAGTGTCACATAAATCCTTAAGAAATCATTCTCATATGCTGATTTGATGCTCAAAATACATTTATGACTGTTATCAATGTTGAAAACAATTGTGCTGCTTGATATTTTTGTGGAAACTGATACATTTTCTTGGGATTTAGTTCAAAGGAACAGCATTTATTTGAAATCTTTTGTAACATTATAAATATCTTTACTGTCACTTTTGATCAATTTAATACATCATTGCTGAATCAAATGTATATATTTTGTTAAATAACCAAACCTACTGAGCACAAACTTTTGAACAGTAGTGTAATGTCATAATAGACTCTACCTGAGGGATGATTCTTGTATATTATGGGTTTTCGTAGATGAAACATGTGTCTTTATTTCCATCTCATTTACTTTCTTCTCACAAAAAGCAACCAGCTGTTTCATTAAATCATTTTCATGCGTTTCACTGTCGTCGCCTGCAAAAAAATAAAAAAATGTTTTTCTCTTGTTCATCTTAGTCTAAATGAATAGAAACAGTCTGCAATCCAACCTTTGTGTATATTGGGTTGAATTGGTTCGATAAGAGGTTTGTGTTGCTTTAGAGTCTGAAGGACTTGGTCGAGATCCCAGGTATCAGGAGGCTGTTGAGATAATAATGTGTTACATACTTTGTATTTAGCTCTGGTCTAATAATCTGATTATATACAATTTAACTTACTGTCAATGATAAAACAGGGCAGAACGGAGTCTCTATCCATCCAGTCTTGTTTGCTTTCTGTTGCAAAGGCGCATTGTTTTCTGTTTTATGTGCCACTCTTTCATTTAGTGATCCTTCTGTTTTGTGACCCACAGGAAGCTGAGGATTAGAGTCACCTTTCTGGTCATCATCAGTCCCGGAAGTGAATAGCTGTGATACAGATTTGTTTAGATGCATGCTTTATGTAAGACAATATGATCTGAGAAATAATTAGATGGTCTCTCTCTCTCTCTCTCTCTCTCTCTCTCTCTCTCTCTCTCTCTCTCTCTCTCTCTCTCTCTCTCTCTCTCTCTCTCTCTCTCTCTCTCTCACACACACACACACACACCTTGACTTCTGGCTCTTTCGGTGAAACACACTCTAGGTTCACCCTGGTCCCTTTCAGCAAGTGAATCCCTGGTGGTCTCTGAAGGACAGATATCTCTTCTTCATCGTCCGACTGCAGTGTGAAATGTTCAGTTTATTTCAGTTAGTCTACCTTGATTGTAAATCTTGTGAGATTCAGGATCACAATTCACCTGGACCTCATTGACTTGGTCAGAAATAATCATTACAAATCATAAACACTGGTAATATAACGATTAATAGAAAGTCACTTGTGAAAAAATATCATAACACAGTAACGTTAGCTTGAACTTACTGATGACAGGTCAGAGTCAAGGGATGGTATCTTGGATATAAGGTCGTCTAGATGCGAATTCCTCTTCATTTCTTGTATTTGACTGGGCAGGTGCGTAGTTTTTCTGTCAAAATACTAAACAGCAGCTGCTGTTGACTGAACGCGGTCTACCATCCAGACGCCAACGAACTAAACTGTAGTTAGTTGTCATGGTGACCGCACGCGCTGTAGATAGGGTTGCCACCTATGTCTGATAAAAAACCGGGACATATTACCCGCCCAACTGGGGGGGGGGGGGGGGGGGGGGGGGGGGGGTTTGAAGACCAAAAATGAACGGTTGAACACCAAAATTTAAATTTTAACTGTAGGCCCGCCTATACACCAAATGCTGCGCAAAAATATATCCTATATTCGCGTATTTTCAGATTTTTGTTCATGATTTTTTTTTTGCCCCTTTAATAAGCATTTAAAATATTCACAAATTATATGGATAAAATGGTTTTCTAAGGCCAAACACTATATTTCTAAGGCTATAGATGATTTATAGGCTATTATAAATGTTTCTGAAAAAGTAACGAGGCATTTTAATTGTTTATTAATAAACTAGTATTTTCTAAATCGGCTGCAACATATCTCCATCTCCGCTGTAAAGCAGATGCGCCTTTAGAGAAGAAATTCATATGGATTACATAATCAGACTGTATTTTCTTTTGATTCGAATTTGTTCGTTTAAAAGTGGACATTTCAAGCTTTAGCCTATGGGCTTGTTTATTTTGAGACGCGATCCAGTTCACGGAGACCATAAAAGAGCGCGACTGATTGTTTTATTTTATTTTACAAAAGCACAACGTTTTCTTGTTATTGTGAGTTTACACAAATAAAAGTAGTTGCGAATGATGTATTGTTGCGAATGATGTTTATTTTCTATGACCAGAAATGATAGAGTAGTAGGCCTATTTTAAGTTGTTTCCACTGTTGATAGAAAAACGGAAGTGCTCGCGCCCGCGCCTCGTGCAGCAAGCGCGCTCCACACTCAGATTACATGCGCTTCTTATGCGCTTCTTGAGGCAGACTCGACTCACACTAGCACACACACGCAAGGTCTCTCGCTCTCTGCCGTTGCGCGCGCTACACAGTTTGAACATACATATTCACGTAGCCTTTCGAAAACCGGGACATTCAGTGTCCCGGGAGAGTGCGTAAATTTCCCGGGACAGGTTATTAAAAAGAAGGACAATCCCGGTAAAACCGGGACAGGTGGCAACCCTAGCTGTAGACCAGTCACGAAGCTACGAGTTGGCCTAATTGATATGAAATAAATCCCATGTCTTATGCTTGTCAAAAATGAAACGTAAAATGTGATTCGACAGTTTCTGTTAGTGTCGTCGTCCACAAAGTTATCTTTCTGACGCAAGGTTGTAAACCCTGTGGAGCGAATTATGTGCCAAAACCTCACACACACACAAAACGTGTTTTACTCACACCCAATGATTTACAAACAAACTCAATGTGGTTTGTAAATACAAAACATCACTCACAAACTAATGCATATTGTTCTGCAAATAAAAAACGTACCTATCAAACAAATACAGTATGTTTTACATATACATAGAAAGGTATTTCTTCAATGACAAAAATATCATCCAAGTACAAATTAAAATCTTTCAAGTACAAAACAAAATTCTACAAGTACGAAACAAAAACCTTCAAGTACAAAACAAAATTCTACAAGTACAAAACAAAAACCTTCAAGTACAAAGCAAAATTCTACAAGTACAAAACAAAATTCTACAAGTACGAAAAACTGTCACGTGACTTTTGGCACTATTTTTCCGCGTCCATGGACAGGCAGATTTTCTCACAAATGCAGTTGAGCAACTTCCTCTTCTAGAACAGTAGATGGCGCTAAGATAGCGGATCAATTTCTATGGCGTTATATATGTGCCTCATTCCTGAGCGAGTAATTGTAAGTTTTGAGCACAGAGAACTATATTTTGCAAGCACATTGCATTATATTTTGAACAGAAATTAACAATCGCAAAAAAAAAATTCGTTTGAGCAAAGAAAAAACGATTCCGTGCTCAATAAATGTATTTGCTATTATCCATATTAACGTGCAATAATAACTCCTCTCACGCAGTTTACTCAGGTGCTCTCTCACAAACTTATTCTCTGCGCTCCTGTCAAGTCCCTCTCTCTCTCTCTCAACCTCTTAATTCTGTGCGCGCTCAACTCTTGACACACGCGCGCTCAACTCTTGACACACGCGCGCTCAACTCTTGATACACACGCGCGCTCAACTCTTGATACACACGCGCGCTCAACTCTTGATACACACGCGCGCTCAACTCTTGATACACACGCGCGCTCAACTATTGACACACACGCGCGCTCAACTCTTGATACACACGCGCGCTCAACTATTGACACACACGCGCGCTCAACTTGCAACAGCGTTACAAGTGTGCCACAAAATCAACCAATCGGAAAATTAGAGGTCAATTGTGATTGGCTGTTGGTCTCCAATCACCACGCAGCACAAAGAAGAAGAAAAAGGAATTTTATGGATAGATGTCTTCTCTAGTATGGAATGCCAAAGCTGACTTAATTAAAAATAAATAAATACATAAATAAATAAATATACGAAGAAATGCAAAAAAGCAAAAATACATAAATAAATATACAAAGAAATGTAAAAAAAAATACAAAGAAATGAGTATTTATACTTTTATTTCCTTATTTATGTATAATTGTATTTTTTTCACACATTTTTTATTTATACATTTATTTATTTCCACTTTTATTTATTTCCACATTTATATATTGTATTGTATTATATAAATTGATTTCCAGGGGCGATCAGCATCATATACTGCATGTCCAGTTCTTAATATTAATCGATAAACTACTCAGTTATTATAATAATAAGGCACTATGGCTGTTATCAGTAAAATAAAATTAACAAAAGTCATTAAGTCATTAAAAGTCAAAATCTTAATACAGAGGAGAATGTTTTTACACTGCAATTACAATTGCATAAAAGTCGTTATGAGATTAATGTTAAAAATAAAACATTTGAATATAGAAATATGAAATGATGGAATCAATTAAATTGTATGTTTAAATATGAAACTAAAACAGCCAGTAGGTGGCGGTAAGTCACTGTCTTAAACGAGTGAGTCATTTCATTATTTCAGACCGATTCATTCAAATACTGAACTTCGGGGAAAAAACACCACGTGTTATGTTCAACTGTACAGCTCAGGTATCAAAATTATGGCGGGGCGACGTGGCACCAACATTAATAAAAAATGTCAGCATTTAAAAATGCTGTAAAAAAGCCCATGTATGAGATAATTTTATTCCCGAACTGAATGAATCAGTATTTGAATGAATCGGTCTGAATTAATGATATGACTCACTCGTTTAAGACAGTGACTTACCGCCACCTACTGGCTGTTTTAGTTTCATATTTAAACATACAATTTAATTGATTCCATCATTTCATATTTCTATATTCAAATGTTTTATTTTTAACTTTAATCTCATTACGACTTTTATGCAATTGTAATTGCAGTGTAAAAACATTCTCCTCTGTATTAAGATTTTGACTTTTAATGACTTAATGACTTTTGTCAATTTTATTTTACTGATAACAGCCATAGTGCCTTATTATTATAATAACTGAGTAGTTTATCGACTAATATTAAGAACTGGACATGCAGTATATGATGCTGATCGCCCCTGGAAATCAATTTATATAATACAATACAATATATAAATGTGGAAATAAATAAAAGTGGAAATAAATAAATGTATAAATAAAAAATGTGTGAAAAAAGTACAATTATACATAAATAAGGAAATAAAAGTATAAATACTCATTTCTTTGCATTTTTTTTTACATTTCTTTGTATATTTATTTATGTATTTTTGCTTTTTTGCATTTCTTCGTATATTTATTTATTTATGTATTTATTTATTTTTAATTAAGTCAGCTTTGGCATTCCATACTAGAGAAGACATCTATCCATAAAATTCCTTTTTCTTCTTCTTTGTGCTGCGTGGTGATTGGAGACCAACAGCCAATCACAATTGACCTCTAATTTTCCGATTGGTTGATTTTGTGGCACACTTGTAACGCTGTTGCAAGTTGAGCGCGCGTGTGTGTCAAGAGTTGAGCGCGCGTGTGTATCAAGAGTTGAGCGCGCGTGTGTATCAAGAGTTGAGCGCGCGTGTGTGTCAAGAGCGCGCGTGTGTATCAAGAGTTGAGCGCGCGTGTGTATCAAGAGTTGAGCGCGCGTGTGTATCAAGAGTTGAGCGCGCGTGTGTATCAAGAGTTGAGCGCGGTGTGTCAAGAGTTGAGCGCGCACAGAATTAAGAGGTTGAGAGAGAGAGAGAGGGACTTGACAGGAGCGCAGAGAATAAGTTTGTGAGAGAGCACCTGAGTAAACTGCGTGAGAGGAGTTATTATTGCACGTTAATATGGATAATAGCAAATACATTTATTGAGCACGGAATCGTTTTTTCTTTGCTCAAACGAATTTTTTTTTTGCGATTGTTAATTTCTGTTCAAAATATAATGCAATGTGCTTGCAAAATATAGTTCTCTGTGCTCAAAACTTACAATTACTCGCTCAGGAATGAGGCACATATATAACGCCATAAATTTCGCGCTAGTCTCTCGGGAGAAACACTGATGTGAAACGCGTGCTTGCCTTTGCCCATGGGAAAATGAGCGGTGAACAGGGGTGTTTCTGTCTTACTTTATCTATAATTTACCTTATTGAGGTTTTGGTAAATGTTAGAAATCCACATT